AAAAAAGGAAAAGTGAAGAAATCCCCACAGATGAGAAGGTGATTAGGAAAATATTAGAATGTGCAGAAATGAACAGATTAACGCTGGCAATTAAGGAGAAAGAACAAACTGAATATTATATGATATGGGAATTATTTTATCCATGGTTACAGAATAAAAATGGAAGTTGGAAATAAAAGGAGATTAGAGTAGAAAATATGTTAAGATAGAGATGTAAACAATATGATAATTGTTAGTATTATGATTAGGATTATTATGCTTAATATTATTATTATATCCTTATTAGAAGACACGTTAAGAGGGAAAAATGAATATGTTTACTATGCTCAATTGTTCAATATACTTTAATTGTAAGATTAGAGAATTAATATCAATGTAGTGATTGATATTAAAAATATAATATCGATATAATGATAATAATTAGTTATGTCCGGAGGCAGCACATAACTCCCAGATGGCCCTGGCTCCCTCTCTGCCTCCGACGCAGAGCCCTCGTCCAAGCCTTCCCCAGACTCCAGGACTGACCCATGTTCCTCCCTAGCCTCCTCAGCCAGCAGGAGAATTCTGGGAATGGAAGTCCACAAGTCTTAAAGCTGCCAACTTTGAGGACCCCTGATTTACGCCTTAAACTTCTGAAAATGGGTTAAGCAGCGCCCTGCCTCTTAATTGCGACTGGAATCCTTATGATCCATCCCATAGGGTTCCCAAGCTTGACAAGTTTAAGACATGTCTCCCAGAATCCCCCTGCCATAGACAAGTCAACTGCATTTTAGCCTGATGTGAACCCAGCCTATGTGGTTAGACTATGGCCCAGCAATCTTTTCAAAACTGAATTAACTGAGTAAACTCCCATTTTGATTAATCTCTCCTTCGGTCTCAGCCTTTCTCAGTTATCACCGCAATTATATTCTGATTGCAGAACCCAACTCTTTGCTCACATACCTATTTTTGCATGAATGGCATGACTGCATCAGTGTTGGATTTCACATTTTTTTTTACTACCGGTTCTGTGGGCATGGCTTGGTGGGTGTGGCAGGGGAAGGATACTGTAAAATCTCCATTCCCACCACACTCCAGGGGAAGGATACTGCAAAATCCCCATTTCCTCCCGATCAGCTTGGGACTCAGGAGGCAGAGAATCGATGGGGGCGAGGCCAGTCAGGATTTTTAACTACCGGTTCTCTGCACATGCACAGGAGAGCTCCGAAGATCAGCTGGGTCTCCGGAATTGCAACCGGAGGCCTGAACACCAGCTGGGGGGGGGTGCACGCACATGTGCAGCTGCAGGTGAGTTGGGCGACAGCTTGTGTGGTTGGAAAGATGGCTCTGCGTGCCACTTCGGGCACGTGTGCCACCTCGGGCATGCGTGCCATAGGTTCGCCATCCCGGGCATCGTGGAATACCTGATTGAATCTATAGGTTGCAATCTGTAGGTTGCAATCTGGGGCTTCCAACAAATCCAGAATTTTACTGACCTAGCTGGAATGCTCGCTGCACACTCTGATTTCTTTCTAAGATCTCCAAGGCAACCCCCACACTGTACCACAGCAAAAAATGGGAGCATAACCCAGTGGAAGGACATTACTTCCCTCCAGAGACTGCCTTCCCTATAAATGTCAAACATTGTTTCAAGGCAAATTGCAAAATTGTGTTAACCTCTTGCAGCAAAAGCAAATTAATAAAAGAGAGCAAGACAGAAAGGGGGGGGGAAAAAAACCCTGATTCCCACAACACCTAATCAGAGCTCTAATTCTGGCCAAAACTCCATTCCTGGGTCCAAAATAGCCCTTTAGGAATGGAGAGTCTCCACCCACTTTCTTCAAGAAATGATTGACAGGGCTTCGTTATATCATTATTTCTTTCTTACATTTTTATCACTGTCACAATCAGAAGATTCTCAGCAGCGTGCAAGGCAACACAACCGACAACAATTCAGAGCACAAGAAGATCAAGATAGAAGAAACTTATGGAAGAAGAAGAAGAATTTTGGAAGATAACACCGAGATGTCACAAGGAAGGGATGACTGATGTATTAAATGTTTGTTTGTCTTAAAAAAAAGAAAAACAATTCAGAGCACACATGGTAATTAGTAAAATCAACCACAGCCAGAAAAAAAAAAAGCCTCTCGAGCCACATACAACGGAATTACTCTAACGGGAGCACCAATCTGCTAATTAAAGGAGCTTTCCAAAAGAGCTTTTTTTCATCAGCCTCTGGAAGGTAACTTGGGGCAAACTTTGCCTCTGCAGATCACAGGGGACACAAAGACAACGATTTCTCAGAAGCAATAACCACAACCAACTTTTTATATCCATGTGAGCCAGAATAATTCTAGTCCGGGAGAGCAAGTCTGGCAAATATCCAAACTCCAAGGCCTCCTTGCCCTGTTTCTATTAGCTAGGCCGGCAACACCAACTGCTCCAGACAATGTTTGGTTAGCTGAATTCTTCTATTTCCAGAAGTTGTGGGTGCTTCAGCACTGGAGGTTTTTAAGAAGAAGATTGGACAGCCAATTTCGTCTGAAATGGTAAAAAGGATCTCGTCCTTGAGGGGGTTTGGATTAGAAGACCTCCAAGGACCCTTCCCAACTCTGTTATTCTGGTAAAGCCAATATGGATTAAAATCCAGGAGCTGTCCATTGGCCGAACAGAAGAAAGGAGCAAAGCGGAGTGTGTTGGCGCTGCTGCTAGTAAGTAGAAAATTAAAGAATAAAATAGGGACGCTCCATATTCTTCCGTTTTATCTTCTATCAACCTTGGCTCTGGTTCCCCTAAAGAAGGGGTCGCCAACCTTTCGGACCTCAGGGACCACTAAATTCATAATTTTAAATCCCGCGGACCACTAATACGAATCCAGCGCGCCGCTCACTGAAGTGCCTGGACTCCCAATGACGGGATGGGGTCCATCAGGCACTTAGTTTGGCCGCCTGTTTCTGCAACCTTAAACACTCAAAGAGCCATTTGGACTTGTTTCCCACAGAAAAAAAAACACCAGAATCTCTCATCTCTCTCTCCCCTCTCTCTCTTTGTCTCTCTCTCTCTCATCTCTCTTTCTCTCATTTCTCTCTGTAGCTCTCATTTTCTCTCTCCCCGCTCTCTCTCTCCCTCCCTTTCCCTCCCTCCCTCATCTTTCTCTCTCTTTCTCATCTCTCTCTCTGTAGCTCTTATTTTCTCTTTCTCTCCCCTCTCTCTCTCCCTCCCTCTCTCATCTCTTTCCCTCTCTCTCTCTCTCATCTCTCTCTCGCTGTAGCTCTCATTTTCTCTCTCTTTCCTCTCCCTCTCCCTCTTTCTCTGCCTCTGTCTCTCATCTCTCTCTCTCATCTACACTGACAGCATATGCACCAAAGACACAATTGTGATTGTGTGTCCAATCACACTTGGCCAATAAAGAATTCTATTCTATTCTATTCTATTCTATTCTATTCTATTCTATTCTATTCTATTCTTCTATTCTATTCTATTCTATTCTATTCTATTCTCTCTCCCCCGTCAATCTCTCTCCCTCCCTCTCTCATCTCTTTCTCTCTCTATCTCTCTCTCTCATCTCTCTCTCTCTGTAGCTCTCATTTTCTCTCTCTCTTCCCTCTCCCTCTGCCTCTGTCTCTCATCTCTCTCTCTCATCTACACTGACAGCATATGCACCAAAGACACAAGTGTGATTGTGTGTCCAATCACACTTGGCCAATAAAGAATTCCCTTCCCTTCCCTTCCCATTCCCATTCCCATTCCATTCCATATTTATTATTCTATTCTATTCTATTCTATTCTATTCTATTCTATTCTATTCTATTCTATTCTATTCTATTCTATTCTATTCTATTCTATTCTATTCTATTCTATTCTATTCTCTCTCCCCCGTCAATCTCTCTCTCTCATGTCTCTCAGCTCTCTGGCTGGTCTCATATTCCAGAGCTCTAGTCACAGGACTGGCCATTGGTCATCCCGGAGCAGCTCCTCAACCCGGGCGAGCTGCGGACCAACAAAATTTTCTAGCGGACTACCAGTGGTCCGTGGACCACCAGTTGGTGACCTCTGCCCTAAAGTATGACTCTAAAACACTGTTGAACCTCTGTTAGTTGGCCAATCTCTCTCAAGTACATCATACAAGGAATCTTTTTAAAAAAACAAAATTTAAAGCCTATAGGACCAAGCGTAAACATACTGCCTTTATCCAAAAGCCAGTCAAAGGCAAATAAAATAAAAAAAAGCGTGTCCTTCGTGGCCCTTCAGCTTAAATGAGCACCCACAACAGGTTTGAACGGATGCCATCACCCTAACCTCAGTATGATCCATGGGACAAAAAAACTTCTGCATTCATTTTAACGTGATGGGCTGACTTGGGAGCTCAGCCTAAACTGAATTCCCCATCCCTGGACCTGCAGTATTAACATTGCAAAGCTGGGTTACTCACCTCTCTGTCGTTAGAACAGCCTCCAATCGGAAGGTGAAAACGAGAGTTTGACTTGGCAAAAAGTAATTCTCTTCTCAAAGCTGCGTGTATTTCTAGGAGAGAGGCATCCCCCTGCCTGCAACCCAAATTAACCTCTTAAAATTAAGACTAGTGCATTTTAGCTGATGCTAGTAGTGCAGGCTTCAAAAGCCTAAGGCATAACAAATGCTTATGTCTCAAAGGTGCACATATGCTTCCTTCGAGATAATATTTTATTTTTTTATTTTTTATTTTTTTTGTCCTGCTTTGGAGCAAAAAAAAAAAAAAAAAACCCCCGCCCAAAAAAAAAAAACTCCTGCAAAAGAGCCCCTTCTCTATTATCAATTCAGCTTTCATTTAATAAAGCATTCCACGACCGCCCCGCCCCTCTCCTGTCGCTCCAACTCGAATCCCCGCCCCTGCGCGTTTATTGGCTACCAGCAAAAAGCAAGGGCGCGGACAGAGAAGAGAGAGAGAGAGGCGGGGGGGGGAGGAGAAAAAAAAAAGCCTCGCCGGCTAGAGCGGCTTTCCGGTTGCACTTCCGGAAAGCCGCAGGGGCTGATGGGAATTCTCCCCCCCCCCGCTATCCCGGAAGAAGGTGGAGCTGCAGCTTCACCTGGTGGGGGAGGGGCGGGGGAAGCCGAACTCAGGGCAGCAGGTGAGGAACCAAAATAATAATAATAATAATAAATTTGCAATGTTTACCACGTGCATCTAAATAAGCATGACTTAAATGGTGGGGTGCATGGATGTACCTGGTGGGCACACCTGGGCACAGGTTGCCTATAGACATATGGGTGCAAAATGGACGCCCATTTGTTTTTTTTTGGGGGGGCGAAGGAGGAGGGCCCAGGAGAGACTGGCCAGGGGTGAAGGGGGACCCTGGGGGGGGGGGGAGATAGAGGGTGGGGGAGGGGCCTCAGGAGGAGGGGGGGGGGGGGGGGCTGTGATTGGACGGGGGGGGGGGGTTGCAATCCATAGGTGCCCTGCAAGCTGCCTAGCTCCAAGCTCACCCCACCTTGGCTGATCCCATCTGGGAAACAACAACAACAACAACAAAACTGAAGGATAATCCTGGGTTAGTATTGGGATGGGATGTTCTGGGGACTCCCAAGCTAGAGTGGAAATTGGGTGGGTGGGTGGGTGGGTGGGTGAGGAGGAACCAGGGTGGATAAAAATCAATGATTTTAAAAAAAAAAATCAAAAAAATCAGATTTTTTTAAAATTTAAATCGGATTTTTTTGATTTTTATTTTAATAAAAAACTTTTGGGGTAAAAATCTATCGTAAGGTAGTTTTCTATTTAAGATACATAAATAATTTAGTCTATTCAGCCTGAAATGGAGCTTAGTTATGTAGCAGGAGGCTGTATATTCTCAACTATCAGTGAGTCAACAGCGGGTCAACGGAGTAGCAGAGATGACAGTTGCTCTTTAAAAATTATGATTTGAATCGAGTTGATTTAAATCGAGCCTTTTTACTAGTGATTTAAATCATGATTTAAATTGTGATTTAAATCAACTCGATTTAAATCAAATCCACCCTGGGAGGAACCCATCCCAGAAGCCGTCGAAGGCGCATGAGTACTATAGAATAACTAACAACAACAACAACAACAAGAAGAATAATACGGGTGTGTAGGTTTTTTTTTCTTTGGAAATTGGAGCTTGACAATTGGCAATGGGGTAAGCGAGTGTTTTTTGGGGGGGTTGTTACTCTCGGTGCCAAGGCAGAGTGGGCATGAGGGGTGGTTTTGTTTTGATGATGATGATGATGATCTCTTTTATTCATTAAACATGAAATTCAGTCAACTGGACATTTAAAAATGTGTCACAAATACGATTGACTGGTGCTAATGGTTGATATGGGTTGCTGCCAGTTTCCTAGGTATCAACCAAGTACCTTCTTAAGATGTACGATGTTATTATTATTCTCTTTTATTCATTAAGAATGAAACTCAGTCAACTGGACATTTAAAAACAAGTCACAAATACAATTGACTGGTGCTAATGGCTGATATGGGTTGCTGTCCTAGGTATCAACCAAGTACCTTCTTAAGATGTACGATGTTCCAAGTAGTGCAGTTTTTTGCAGTTCCGCTGGTGCTATTGCAGGAAGCTGCAATTTCTGGATGGATTTTATTAAATTCTTGGACATGGTACCAAGTTACCTGATGACAGTGGGTATCACTGTTACATGTTTCATCCATAGCCGTGTAGTTTTGATGGCCAGTTCACGATATTTTGTGTTTTTTTCCAGTTCTTTTTCTTTAACTGGCATCTCTTTGTACAGTGATATCAATAAACGATACGCTTGGGCCCTCGACAACTGTGATATCTGGCGTGTTATGTTCCAACAACACTATTGTTGTTGTTATTTTACATCTTTGAGGCAGTGTTTGCTCCTGGAAACTTGCCTGGACAGGTTCCTGTAGGTTTTTTTAGCAAGATATCCGAAATAGTTTGCCATTGCTGGTTCTTCCCAGGACTAAGGGAGAGGGCCTGGCCCAAGGTCATCACCCAGCTGGCTTTGTGTCTTAAGGTGGGGAGTAATACTCACAGTCTCTCAGTTTCTAGTCTAACTGCTACACCAAACCGACTCCTGATATTATTTTGCTAACAAATAAATAATAAATATTTTTGTAACAGCTTTGTCCTCTATGCTATCCGTCTGGAAAACTTGCAAAATTCATTTTTCTCGCCATGTACATGTATACATCTGAACTAGATTGTGTTGCTTCTCTGTGTCATATAATATATGTGGGTATATGATTTATTTTATTTATTTAATTAATTAATTAGATTTATCTGTCATGTTTATGTAGTATATATTTGAGAACTGTATGCAACGAAATTTCATTTTAATGTATGTCAATTAGTGTACATTTGAAGCGACAATAAAGTTATTCTAAGTTCTAAGTCTAAGTAAATAAGTGGTTACTTTACTTGCATTCCAGTTCTATATATTTCGTTAATGAAGACTTGATCCATATAAGGGGGACTCCATCGCTTGGAATCCAATTCTTCATGAGTCTAATTCTGTTATAAAAAATTTCCCCTTATAGGGTCTGAGCTAATAGAAAGGATATCCAAACTTTTCAATATTGTAGCTAGATTTGTATTCCATTAATTATAGCATATTGAATAAATCATCATTGGTTAAGTTTTTTTTACTAACCCAAAACTCAAACCACCATATTCTGGCTTAGTACGAGGTAAAAAAATATTGTCTATTTACTTAAGGATTCTTAGAATCACACTGCCCATCCCATACTAATACCTTTTGAATGATATTTTAATTGGCGATGTAGAAAAGGTTTTATAGAATTTTATGCTGAAAAAAAAAATCAATTGTCCACTTCCTTATCTAGTGACAAGGGAAAATGGTGGTAATAAGAATATTAAAACTATGTGCTTAAAGTAATTACTTAAACAGCTTTTGGCTCATATCCATATTTCATTTTCTTTTGGGGTACTTAATTACTTACAAGAAATTACTGAATGTTTACATAAGATAGTAGTATGTAATTTTTGCCACACAAACTTCAAGAATTAGGACTGGGAGTTTATCATGATTTTATTATATTAATTTATTCTTTTTTATTAGTTTTATTCTTTTAAACGAGATTTTATATTCTGTAAGCCACCTTGAGTAGCCATGTACGAATAGGTGGCAATATTAAATAAATAAATAAATAAATAAATAAATAAATAAATAAATAAATAAATAAGACTGAGATAAAGAATGGACAATTTTGTTATATAATACATCTGAAATGAACCTTAATCCCAGGTGTGTGACTAAAGGTTTATAATGGATAGAAGTTGTATTTACTGATACTTCCTAGATAACTATCTGTAATTAAACATTTCAAAATCATTTTTTTATTTAACTGGCATACGTTTAAATTTTTTACTGGTATTTTAGATTTCATCCGACCATAGATGAAGTAAACACATTCCAGGGAAAGCATGGCCATCTACAGCTGTAACATATTCCTTGGAGTAGCTAGGACCAGGTAAGAAATGAAATCTTGATCTCTGTGAAATATATTTTAGATCTTTGACTGTCATCCAAAAAACAGTACTGATGTTAATACAAATTTTCTACCATGAAGGAAGTTCATTGGTTTTTATTTGATTACCAACTTCAGTCAAAATGACATGGCATTGTGTTAAACATTGTAGAGACAGTGTAAAACAGTTGTATTGATTTCAGTTTAATACCGTGTTTCCCTGAAAATAAGACCAGGCTTTATATTTTAATTTTTGCTCCAAAAGACGCATTAGGTCTTATTTTCGAGTTAGGTCTTATTTTTGGGGAGATACGGTACTAAATGCATCCATCTGGCTGACAATCTTAAGTAGGGCTTATTTTGGGGGTAGGGCTTATATTACGAGCATCTTGAAAAATCATGCTAGGATTTATTTTCCTGTTGGGTCTTATTTTCGGGGAAACAGGGTAGAAAAAAAAGCAATATCAGGATTGTTTTTGTTCAGCATTGGGCGCACCGATAGCATTCACCTGTGTAGTTTGTTTTCTTTTTGTGAAATATAAAAAATGAGATCTGGACTAAATAAACACAAGAGCTCCTACATTACATTGTCTGGTTTGAATAATAAAAAAAAATCTGTAATTTCCTCCGTCATCCAGAGCTGAGAAATTATAACCTGTGTCCAGTTGCAAGCGTGGTAAATACAGTAGCTAGGACTGGGGTTAAGAAATAAAATCCTTAAACCAGTGGTGAAATGCAAAACTTTTTCCTACCGGTTCTGTGGGCGTGGCTTGGTGGGGGGTGTCATGTGACTGGGTGGGCGTGGCCAACTTAAAAAACAACTTTTTAAAGCATTTTTTACTACCTATTTGCCTGAACCGGTAGTAAAAAAAATGCTTTAAAAAAGTTTTTAAAAAGGTTCTGACAATCACAGCTGTCCCGTGCAATTGTCAGAACCTTTTTTTTACTTTTTTAAAGCATTTTTTAACTACCGGTTCTGGCGAATTGGTAATAAAAAATGCTGTAAAAAAGAAAAAAAGTTCCGATGATCGCGCGACACAGCTGTGATCTTCAGAACCTTTTTTTTACTTTTTAAAGCATTTTTTTTACCACCAGTTCTCCCTGCAACCCTCTGCCAGCGAAAACGGAGCTTGGGAGGGCCGCACGCCTCACTGGCAGAGGGTTGCAGGAGGCCGTCCCAGCTGAAAACGGAGCTCGAGAGCCCGTTTTCGCTGGCAGATACACCACGGGCCTGAGGTCAAACTCAACCTTGATGCGGCCCTCCATGAAATCGAGTTTGACACCCCTGATTTAGACTCTTTTCTCTTCCAGAGGGTCATCATGCCTACTTGTACACTCCTGTTGTTCCCTGTTCTCCTCGTCAGCTGCACTTGCTCAACTGTTGGATTTCCACCATAACGGAACATTCCTGAAGGACTCCGAAAGCCACCAGCTCCTCTCCAGTTCACCGCAGGGCAACGGTTGGCCTCACTTGCTCATTAGACCGATGCGGATGTTTCGCACGTCAGCTTCTTGGCATCAGGACAAACCTCGCCCTGAGCCAAGTACTGTAAAAACAGACCCTACTCCGGCCAGTCTTCCAGACAAAGCCACAGAGACTGTCAGGAGATCTCTCTGGCAGAGGATCGTGGATGAACTGAGACATTATTACAACGGATTCCACTTGCTTTGGATCGACACGAAAGTAGCTGTCCGGATGGTCTGGAGACTGTTACACGGCCAAATCCTCACCAGGCGGGAGAGACGAAGGGTGAGCATTGGCTGACTTTGGGGAGCAGCCAGGTTTCTCCTCTTGAATGGACAACATTCAGCAGCGGATTCTTATTCGCTGGACAAAAGCAAAACAAATCTGAAATGAGGTGACTTGATCACTCAGCCGATCGACGGGCTGAATAAGGGAGAGCCAAACATTTTGCTTTGACTGGCTTTACATTCTTGTTCATTTCCCCCCCCCTAAGAGCCACGGTGGCGCAGTGGTTAGAATGCGGTACTGCAGGCTACTTCTGCTGCCTGCCAGCTTCCTGCAGTTCAGCAGTTCAAATCTCACCAGGCTCGAGGTTGACTCAGCCTTCCGTCCTTCCGAGGTCGGTAAAATGAGGACCCAGATTGTCAGGGGACGATGTGCTGACTCTGTAAACTGCTTAGAGAGGGGCTGTAAAGCACTGTGAAGCTATATATAAATCTTAAGGGCTATTGCTATAAGAGCAAAGCAGCTGCTGGATTAGAACATCAGGCCCAGCAGTCAGTTTCCCAGATAATTTCCCCTGGGATTTTGGAGCAAAGTTTCAGCTTGCTTCTCAACCTGAAAGCTCATTCATTGATGCCATACAGGCAGTCCTCAAATTACGGTCGAAGTTATGATGAAACGCCTTCCCCAAAGCTACTGAGAAGCTGTTTTCGAAGTTCTGATGTCACCCTCTCTGTCGGTCACACAATCACACTTTAGGCATTTGGCAACTGGCTCACATTTACAACTCTTTCCATTGGCCTATAGGCATGTGACTGCAATTTATGATGGTTTTTGCTGGAAATTGACATTTATGTCTGGTTTCGGGCAAAACCCACCCCATAGAGGACAGGGAGTTCACTTACCGACTGTATTAAGGTGTTCGCTTAATGACTGCTGCGAAAAAGATCATAAAATCAGGTCCAGTTATATGGCATCCCGCTTTATAACTTTCACGGCTTAACGACCGTAGTTGCCAAGCTCAGTTATGGTCGTAACTCAAGGACTACCAGTATTTGCTTCCAACTGTGAATTTGGAATCCTTACTTGCTGATAACTCATGTGTCCTCTTCATGTGTGACTTGCTGCATAGTATAAGAGAGTGCGTGCCTCTGTGATAAACTCCCAAATGTTTCTCAAGAACTAATCTGGATCGGTCATCGGGACCATAGGTTCAATCTTCCGAGATTTCGGACTCATGCTGGAGCCCACCCTCAGGGAACTTCTCTCTAACAGACTGTTTTGGGTTATTCTATGCAGAGTATAGAGGGACACGGCGGCTCGGTGGCTAAGACGCTGAGCTTATCGATCAAAAGGTCGGCAGCTCAGCGGTTCGAATCCCTAGTGCCGCGTAACGGGGTGAGCTCCCGTTACTTGTCCCAGCTTCTGCCAACCTAGCAGTTCGAAAGCAGGTAAAAAATGCAAGTAGAAAAATAGGGACCACCTTTGGTGGGAAGGGAACAGCGTTCCGTGCGCCTTTGGCGTTGAGTCATGCCGGCCACATGACCACGGAGACATCTTCGGACAGCGCTGGTTCTTCGGTTTTGAAACGGAACCTCTGGTTCCCCTAACGGACCCAGATTGGATCCTGCAACATTATCCTGGGACACACGTATAATTTGTCTTCACTCAAATGTTTGATTGCACATAACAGTCAGACCTGAACCCTCCTTCTCATACAAAGCACAGAACAGTTGTTGAATAAAATCATTTTGACTTATTTCTTAAAGCAAGCAGGGATGCAGCCAGCATTTCTGCAGATTAAATGTTGGCACCTTGAAATTAATTTGACAGAGTGCTTTCTTGGAGCAAGGCTTCTCCCTGGTCTTTTGAGTGGAAAGGAGAGAGAGATTCAAGGGAGGGTTATAAGCCATGATTTGGTTTACTCAGTTTTGGTTTGAGTAACGTTACATGATTCCAGTATCGTGGCTTATTGAAACACGTTTACGATTAACCGTGCCTTAAGGCAATGTATGAACAGCGTAATGTTTTGGCTTGTGTTTCTTTTTCCGCAGCTGATGAGAACATCAGCAGATCTTTTTCGGTTGGTTCCTTTCTTGGTGTTCATCATAGTACCTTTCATGGAATTCCTGTTACCTGTATTTCTTAAACTCTTTCCCGAGATGTTGCCTTCAACCTTTGAAACGGAATCGAAAAAGGTCAGTTTTTCCAATTTTGGACAAAGCTCAATCTATCTGTCGAACTGTGACATGGCGCCTCTATCTCAGGGATTCTTTGCTGATATAAATCTACCTGTCTAGAAAAATTAATCTCCGCAAGAAGTGGAGGAGGACAAGAATCTAGGATGACCTATGTTCAAACTCTCCCCGAGATGCAAAGCTCTTGAATAATTTTGATGAAATTTTTCTCCTGCTCAGACAGAGAGGATACAAGGCACATAATAATGCTGTAGGGAGGAAGGGTGAAACGAAAGGATTTACGAGACCGCCTTCTGCCACCGATAGCCTCCCATCGACCGGTACGCTCCCACACAGAGGGGCTCCTCCGGGTGCCGTCGGCTAGGCAATGTCGGCTGACGACCCCCAGGGGGAGAGCATTCTCTGTGGGGGCCCCTATCCTCTGGAATGAGCTGCCCCCGGAGATTTGTAGGATTCCCGACTTTCATACCTTTCGTCGTGCCCTAAAAACATTATTATTCCAACAACAGGGCTGGCCTAACTATTTTAATGGGTTGTTTTATTAGATTTTTTAGCCAATTTATTTAATTGTTTTAATTGCTTTTAATTTTTATATTGTCATGGTTTTTATTTCTGGCTGTACACTGCCCTGAGTCCTTTGGGAGAAGGGCTGTATAGAAATTCAATAAAATAAATAAATTAACAAAATAGGCATTCTGGGCTAGCGTGGGCAAGAGAGTAGCTTATACCGTATTTTTCGTAATGTAAGATGCACCAGAGTATAAGACACACCTTAGTTTTTGGGGAGGAAAATAAGAAAAAAGCTGATTGGCGGGTGGATCGGCCTCCCGGAATACTCCCAATCAGCTGTTCCTGGAGGTGAATTTTAGCAACAGGTTCCTTGATTGTGATCTCTGTGCCTTGCTTTTTATTTTTATTTTTATTTTATTTTTTTGCTTTTTTTTTCTGTCTCTGAAACTTCTGAAACTCTGTTTCAGAAAAAACTTTTTTTTCTTGCCTCTGAAAGCCTCCGAAACAGCTTCAGAAAAAAAGCCTCTGAAGCTCTGTTTCTGAGGCTTTTTTTCTGAAGCTCTGTTTGGAGGCTTTTTTTCTGAAGCTTTGTTTCTGATGCTTTTTTCAGCCTCTGAAACCTCCGTTTGAGAAGCTGGGTGGGGCTACATTCAGAGTATAAAATGCATCCAGATTTTCATCCTCTTTTTGGGGGGAAACAGGTGCATCTTATACTCCGAAAAATACAGTAGCAGAATTATCTTGCTCTGCCATTTGTAAAGATTTTTCATCTTTCCTACTATCTTCTCCTATTGGTATCTTATGATTTATCACTTGTTTATGATTTATGAGGGGCTGCCACAAAGAAGAGGGGGGGTCAAATTATTCTCCAAAGCACCAGAGGGCAGGACAAGAAACAGTGGATGGAAACTAACCAAAGAGAGAAGCAACCTGGAATTAAGGAGAAACTTCCTAACAGTGAGGACAATTAACTGCTACCTATTCTGCACTTCAGCAGGGACGCGGTGGCTCAGTGGCTAAGACGCTGAGTTTGTCGATTGAAAGGTCGGCAGTTCGAATCCCTGGTGAGTCTGTGGATGGGTTTGAAGTGCAGAATAGGTAAAGGGAAAGGTTCCCCTCGCACATATGTGCTAGTCGTTCCCGACTCTTAGGGGCCGGTGCTCATTTCCGTTTCAAAGCCAAAGAGCCAGCGCTGTCCGAAGACGTCTCCGTGATCATGTGGCCGGCATGACTCAACGCCAAAGGCACACAGAATGCTGTGACCTTCCCACCAAACATGGTCCCTATTTTTCTACTTGCATTTTTTTTAACGTGCTTTCGAACTGCTAGGTTGGCAGAAGCTGGGACAAGTCACGGGAGCTCACCCCGTTAACGTGGCGCTAGGGATTCGAACCGCTGAACTGCCGACTTTTCGATCGACAAGCTCAGCGTCTCAGCCACTGAGCCACCGCGTCCCTGTTGAAGTACAGAATAGGTAGCAGTATATTTTTTAAAAAAAAAACGTTGGCTCTTCGGCTCTTATCTTTTTTGATACTTTTTTCTCTCTCCCTTTAGAATATTTTTTTTTATTCATTCCCAGCAAGTGGTGCAATGAAAAGAAAATAGAACTTTACTTTTTGCCAAGAATGGCAAGCAGCTCGTTGCTCTGTGAGATAATTCCTTACCTTTCTCATTATTCTTTGCACCAAGGAAGAAAAGCAGAGGAAGAAACTGAGTGCGAAGTTGGAGCTAGCCAAATTCTTACAGGAGACGATTGCAGAGCTGGCGAGAAGAAACAAAGCCAGCACAGGAGCAGCGACCCAGCTGTTCTCTTCCTACGTTCAGAAGGTAAGCGTCCCTTCAGGGAATAGAAAAGCTGGAGTCCCGGAGCTTCATTGCTTCATTTAAAAATTGCTGATAAGCTTCAGGCGTCTCCCATAAGATGGAACTGTTTAAATCAAGACCGTGCGACCTTGGAAACTTTCAGTCTTTTTGGACTTCAACTCCCAGAACTCCCCAGCCAACATGAAGTCCATGGGTCTTAAAGGAGTGGTGAAATCCAAATTTTTTTACTACCGGTTCTGTGGGCATGGCTTGGTGGGTGTGGTGTGGCTTGGTGGGCGTGGCAGGGGAAGGATACTGCAAAATCCCCATTCCCTCCCACTCCAGGGGAAGGATATTGCAAAATCCCCATTCCCTCCCATTCCAGGGGAAGAATACTGCAAAATCTCCATTCTCTCCCCACTCCTGGGGGAACAATTCTGCAAAATCTCCATTCCCTCCCCACTCCTGGGGGAAGGATACTGCAAAATCCCCATTCCCTCCCACTCCAGGGGGAAGGATACTGCAAAGTCTCCATTCCCTCCCACTCCAGCGGAAGGATACTGCAAAATCCCCATTCCCTCCCACTCCAGGGGGAAGGATACTGCAAAATCTCCATTCCCTCCCACTCCAGCGGAAGGATACTGCAAAATCCCCATTCCCTCCCACTCCAGGGGAAGAATATTGCAAAATCTCCATTCCCTCCCACTCCAGGAGGAAGGATACTGCAAAATCTCCATTCCCTCCCACTCCAGGGGAAGGATATTGCAAAATCCCCATTTCCTCCCATTCCAACGGAAGGATACTGCAAAATCCCCATTCCCTCCCCACTCCTGGGGAAGGATATTACAAAATCCCCATTCCCTCCCCACTCCTGGGGAAGGATACTGCAAAATCTCCATTCCCACCCCACTCTGGGGACAGCCAGAGGTGGTATTTGCCGGTTCTCCGAACTGCTCAAAATTTCCGCTACCGGTTCTCCAGAACCTGTCAGAACCTGCTGGATTTCACCTCTGTCTTAAACCTTAAACTTTTCCAAGGTTTTATATCCCTGGATTGTATAAAGCAAAATTGAAACATCAGAAATAATCCTCTTAAGGGAAAATGGAAAAAGTGTTACTATACAAATGTACGTTAATGATGGCATATGCGTAACCAGCAAAATAGAAAAGAAATTGAAAGGAAAATGTATGTACAGTAAATAAAAAATTGGGGTTGCTCGAATACCATCTTGAAAATATATTGAATTGAAAATAAACAACAATCCCGGAGAGGGAATGGAGAGAGGAATAGAGGGACAGATAGGAAGAAGAGGGGAGAAGAGAGGAAAGGAGGGAGGGATAGAAGGAAGGGAAAAGGAGAGGAAGAAAGGGAGGAGAAATAAGAATAGGAGAGTGGGTTAGAAAGGGAGGAAGAGGGGAGGAGTGGGGGAAAGGAAGGGGAAGGAGAGAAGGGGAAGGAGAGGAGAAAAAAAGAAAGTGGAAAAGGATAGAAAAAGGGAGGGAAGGGAAAGGGGAGGAGGAGAGGAAAGGTTGTTGTGAAATAAGGGAGATACAGAATGGTAGAAGAGCAACCCTGAGTATACTTTAAATTTTTAGGATGAAGAATGAACTAATGTGAAAGTCAAAAGATAATATGTATGATTAATAATGGCTAAGAGATTGTACATTTATGTATGCAAGTAGAAAAATAGGGACCACTTTGGTGGGAAGGGAACAGCGTTCCATGCTCCTTTGGTGTTTAGTCATGCCGGCCACATGGCCATGGAGACGTCTTCGGACAGCGCTGGCTCTTCGGCTTTGAAACGGAGATGAGCACCGCCCCCTAGAGTCGGGAATGACTAGCACATATGTGCAAGGGGAGCCTTTACCTTTACCTATTATTATAAAGAAAGCTAGCAATTCTGGAGTCCTCATTTATTGTTGTGTGTAGGTTCGACATAGCGGCCAACAACCCAGCACCCAGGAAATTGTGCAGTTTTCCAAACTGTTTGAGGATGAGCTGACGCTGGAACACTTGGAGCGGTCCCAGCTGGTCATCCTTTGCAAACTGCTGGAGTTACAGCCCATTGGCACCAACAATCTCCTCCGCTTCCAGCTTTTGATGAAGCTCAGATCCATTAAGGCTGACGACGAGGTAAAGAGATGCATCCCACCTTTTGCCAAGAGCTTGGGGAAAAAAATTGCTCCTTCAATCTAGTTATTGAATGCGCTTGCAACTGTTCTCAGCGAGTTTAAGGATCTTTCCTTGTGTTAACCCACGATAACAGTGGTGGTGTGGCCGGCTAGCGGAGCTGGCAGCAGACTCAGACAGTGAAGAGATTGGGGAGGAACATAAGCCAATCCTGAAGTCTGGGGAAGGCTCTGATAAGGGCTCTGCGTCGGAGGCAGAGATGGGGCCAGGGCCGCCGACAGTTAATCAGCTACCTTCGGAGTCGGAGATAAATGGGGCAGAAGAACAGCTGAAGCTGTTCCTGGTGTGCGCATGCACAGAGCTGTCAGGAGAAGGGAACAATTAAGGAATAGGGGTTGACTCAGGAATAAAGCCACAAGGGGACACTGAATGGCCCCTCCCATAGGGAATAAATAGGAGGAAAAGGAGAGTGGTGTTTGCAGGAGACAATTAGTTCGTTTATTAGTGTGAAGATTTGCTTATCTGAGTTAGTGCCTCATTAGGGCTGAAAAAAAGCTTCTAAAACACAGCTGATTGTCAGAAAGAGAAGCAATGAGAAAAGCAGGCAAAGTTCGGGCTTCACCCGCTAGTGCTGAAAAAAAGCTTCTAAAGCACAGCTGAGAGTCAGAGGGAGAAGCAGTGAAAAGCAGGCAAAGCACGGGCTTCACTCGCTAGTGCCTCGTTAGGGCTGAAAAAAAGCTTCTAAAACACAGCTGATTGTCGGAGAAGCAGTGAGAAAAGCAGGCAAAGCACGGGCTTCACTCACTAGCACCTCGTTAGGGCTGAAAAAAAGCTTCTAAAGCACAGCTGAGAGTCGAGGGAGAAGCAGTGAAAAGCAGGCAAAGCACGGGCTTCACTCGCTAGTGCCTTGTTAGGGCTGAAAAAAAGCTTCTAAAACACAGCTGATTGTCGGAGGGAGAAGCAGTGAGAAAAGCAGGCAAAGCACGGGCTTCACTCACTAGCCACCTCGTTAGGGCTGAAAAAAAGCTTCTAAAGCACAGCTGAGAGTCGGAGGGAAAAAGCTATGTTCAGAGTATAAGACGCACCCAAATTTTCAGCCTCTTTTGGGGGGGGGCGGTGCATCTTATACTCCGAAAAATACGGTAATTGCAACAAGGGGAATCATGAAAAGTACTAAATAGGAAATTTGCTTAACAAATGATATAAAGAAATAAGGTAGGAGAAAGCAGTTTAATATCAAGGCAGATATAGCAAGAGGGAAAATAAAGGCTTTTAAGCTAATTAATTAGCCTGTCTAAGGATTCTCTGAGATTGATTTAGTATTGTTAGGCTGAGTCAGCCAGTGAATTTTGATTGCGTTTTCTCCCTTGTCATCTATGACCATAAATGCAGTTTATAAAGTTTTCATTAATTTATTCGATGTGCTTATCTTGAGATGATTGAAACTAGGCTCATAACCAAACAGGATATTGTTAATCTGTCATCTGCCTTTTAACCAGTTGATTGCTTACAACATGTACAGGACCAAAATATCAGCATATGTGTCTTCTGAGTGTGACTGCAAATGTGCAGATTTAATGAAGCAAAGCTATGTTTTGCAATTTAAAATCTTTGTTGTTCAAAAGAAAGCTATCTTTAAATTCTGGGCAAGCTGGCCAAGAAAATGATGTTGGCTAAATTTTGCATGTTATTGGCAAGAACAGGTTTATTTAGATCCCTTTTAAATTGACAGTAGCCTGAATGAGAGGGGAGCCTTGATTTTGTTAAATGATCTACGTGATATAGCAATAGCACTTAGACTTACATACCGCTTTACAGTGCTTTACTCTAAGCGGTTTACAGAGTCAGCCTCTTGCCCCCAACAATCTGGGTCCTCATTTTACCCACCTCGGAAGGATGGAAAGCTGAGTTAACCTTGAGTTGGTCAGGATTGAACTGCTGGCAGTGGGCAGAGTCAGCCTGCAATACTGCATTCTAAGCACTGTGCCACCAGAAAGAAGAATGAAAAAGGGAATAAGGGAGAGAGGGAGGGAGGGAAGAAGAAAGGAAGGAAGGAAGGAAGGAAGGAAGGAAGGAAGGAAGGAAGGAAGGAAGGAAGGAAGGAAGGAAATCAAGCAAGCAATAGCACTTAAGGTTAAGGTTAAGGTTTATTAAATTTGTATACTGCCCTTTTCCCGAAGGACTCAGGGCGGTGAACAGCCAAGATTAAAATACATACAATATAAAAATGAAAATAAATTAAAAAAACTTAGACTTATATACCACTTCATAGTGGTTTTACAGCCTTCTCTAAGCAGTTTACAGAGTCAGCATATTGCTCCCAACAGTCTGGGTCCTCATTTTACCAACCTTGGAAGGCTGAGTCAACCTTGAGCCTGGTGAGATTCGAACTGCCAAATTGCAGGCAGCCGGCAGAAGTAGCCTGCAGTACTGCATTCTAACCACTGCACCACAGCGGCTCATAATGATATGATGCTGATTTTTGCTCTTTCTTACCTGTAGATGATAGCCAAGGAAGGAGTGAATGGCTTGAGCGTGTCTGAGCTCCAGAGTGCATGCAGAGCAAGAGGAATGAGGTCACTGGGCCTTACGGAGGACCAGCTCAAAGAGCAACTGAACCAGGTATGTTAGGGATGAGGGAGGGAAGGGAATTGAGTCAGAGGAGAATATCCAAAGGTATCTGGCTGCTTCATTGTCCTGAATGGATGGAAACCACAAGTCACATGTCATTGTGGTCCGCCAGCAGCCTGCGGAGCTGGCAGCAGAGTCGGACAGTGAGGAGGCTGGGGAGGAACATGGGCCAATCCTGGAGTCTGGGGAAGGCCCAGACGAGGGCTCTGTGTCGCAGGCAGAGATGGGGCCAGGGCCATCAAGGAGTTATGCGCAGACTCCGGAGCCTCCAGAGTCAGACATCAGAGAGGCAAAGGAACAGGAGGAGCCTGTTCCTAGTGCACGCATGTGCAGAGCTGCCAGAAGGCAAGAACAGTTAAAACAAAAGGGACGACTTGGGAGTAAGGCCTGGAGATGATTGGCCCCTCCCATAAGGCTTAAAAGAGGAGCAAAAGCACGAAAGGAAAGCAACGTCGTTAATTCTGTTCCCAGTCGGCATCTCTGTTTGATTCTGGACTCCGTGTGGCTTTGCCGAGTAGGTCTTTGGCAGCGTGTCAAGGGAGATAAAGGTTGGTGTTTATCCCGAAGGACTTTTTGCAACTAACTGGGACTTAGCTGTGAATGAACGTAATTCACAGCTGTTGCAATAAAAGAGATTTTTGGGACTACTCGTGTGTTTTGATGACTCAGGAAGCCGAGGTCACAACACATATGATGTCTCCCTCCGAGCATCTGTTTGGCTCAGGCCAACCTTTAAAAAAATTTATATTTTGCGAAAGGCCCATGTGGGGGTATTTTAACACCGCCTCTACCGACCTCTGTTGCCTCACCAATAGGCAATCACTTCTTATTCCAAACCAACATCTGCAAAAATGGGAAATGTTCACTGATTCTGAAGAACATCCCATTGGAAAAGGTTGCTGTAAGAGATGGCCGGTCTAATTTTGAGGCTAGATTTTTTTAGTGCTTGTGTGTCGGCCGATTGGTTCAGAACGAGATTCGAAAGTATTCCAATTTTAATTTTACAGACGTAAGCAGTTGTTCCAGCTGAGCTAAGGACACAAATGGGGCAGATAGGAATGAGAGACCGCTTAAGTCGGCGTCATTAGTGGCTTCTCAGCAGGTTCTGAATGCAGCTCCTTAGGATGGAGGATGGAGTGCTGGGCTGCAGGAAGCTCACTTCCCATTCTGAGCCGTTAAATCTCAAGAGTGCAGCACAGGCAATGGCAGTCAGCAGCTTTAGAGTCAGATATGGTCTCAGATATATCTGGGAATGATGGAGGGCAAAAGTAGAAGGGGACAACAGAGAATGAGATGGCTGGATGGAGTCACTGAAGCAGTCGGCGTGACCTTAAATGGACTTAAAAGGATGATGGAGGACAGGAAGGCCTGGAGCAGTGGTTCTCAACCTTCCTAATGCCGTGACCCTTTAATACAGTTCCTCATGTTGTGGTGACCCCCAACAATAAAATTATTCCTAACACCATTGAAAATATGTGTTTTCCATGGTCTTAGGCGACCCCTGTGAAAGGGTCATTTGACCCCCAAAGGGGTCCCGACCCACAGGTTGAGAACCACTGGCCTGGAGGAACATCGTCCATGGGATTGCGATTGAGAGAATTGAGGCTTTTGAACTCTGGTGCTGGAGAAGACTCCTGCGAGTCCCTTGGACTGCAAGGCCATCAAACCGGTCAGTCCTAGAGGAGACCAACCCCGACTGCTCTTTAGAAAGCCAGATCCTGAAGATGAAACTCAAATATTTTGGCCACCAAATGGGAAGGAAGGACTCCCCGGAGAAGAGCCTAATGCTGGGAACGATGGAGGGCAAAAGAAGAAGGGGACGGCAGAGAACAAAGTGGCTGGATGGAGTCACTGAAGCAGTCGGTGTGAGCTTAAATGGACTCCAGAGGATGGTAGAGGACAGGAAGGCCTGGAGGAACGTTGTCCATGGGGTCATGATGGGTTGGACACAACTTCGCAACTAACAACAACAAATGCAGCCAATTCAATCTTTCAGCAAGAGTGTGTGGCTTTCTACGGGGCTTTAACTCCTCTAGCATACCTTATGGTTGGAGTTCTTGCAACCTAAAAGGTAAAGATAAAAGTTTTCACTGTCCAGTCGTATCCGTGTCTAGGGGGTGGTACTCATTTCCGAATCCTAGCCGAGGGAGCCAACGTTATCTGAAGACATTTCTGTGGCCATGTAGCTGGCATGACTATACACGCAGATGCACAGAACACACTTACTTTCGCACCGGAGTGGTACCTATTTATCTACTTGCATGCTTTCGAACGTCTAAGTGGGCAGGAGCTGGGACAAGTAATGGGAGCTCACCCCATTACGTGGCACTAGGAATTCGAACCGCTGAACTGCCAACCTTCTGATTGACGAGCTCAGCGTCTTAGCCACCAGCCACCACGTCCCCTTACGTACCCCTTGCAATTTACATACCACCAATTTCAATCTGGGAAAGACTCCATTCACCTCGATTGTTTTTTTCCAAAGCACCTTTGGGAAGGACCACGAGAACAAAGCATAATCTGCTCTCTCAATGTCAGTGTGTCAGTAATTTTCTGGTCTCACAGGGTGGGTCAAAACACCAAATTGGTGCAAAATATAAAGGAAGTTTCTTGCTAGAGCAAAATGAGGTTTTTTTTTCCCTTTGCAATCCTCACCTGTGGAAGTTTCAGATTTGGCGAAAGTTTTTAATTTCCTGGAAAATTGTTCTGAACGATTCTTTCTCCCCGTCTCTGCTGTACAGTGGCTGGATTTGAACCTCAAAGAAAAAGTCCCTCCTTCTTTGCTGCTGCTTTCCCGTGCCTTGTACCTGACAGATGTGAGTCCCAAACCGATGATGGTGAACACAACTAAGGTGAGCAGGTTTTGTAGCCGCGACTGTCAAACAAACTGGGTCTGTTTTCCTGATGGGAGAGCAAGACTAGGAAGGAAGGGTTATTAGCAGCTTCTCCTTGCTTGGCCTTGGAGGAGCCGTGGTGGCGCAGTGGTTAGAATGCAGTATTGCAGGCTGACTCTGCCCACTGCAAGGAGTTCTATTCTGACCAATTCAAGGTTGACTCAGCCTTCCTTCTGAGGTCGTTAAAATGAGGACCCAGATTGTTGGGGGACAATATGTTGACTCTGTAAACCACTTAGAGAGGGCTGTAACGCCCTGCGAAGCGGTATATAAGTCTAAGTGCTATTGCTATTGTCCTTCCTTCCTTCCTTCCTTTTCCTTCCTTCCTTCCTTCCTTCCTTCCTTCCTTCCTTCCTTCCTTCCTTCCTTCCTTCCTTCCTTCCTTCCTTCCTTCCTTCCCTCTGCCGACTGCCAGCAGTTCGATCCTGACTGGCTCAAGGTTGACTCAGCCTTCATCCTTCCGAGGTCGGTAAAATGAGGACCCAGATTGATGGGGGCTTAGAGGGCTGGAAAGCACTGTAAAGCGGTATATAAGTCTAAGTGCTATTGCTTGTGTCCGTCCTTCCTTCCTTCCTTCCTTCCTTCCTTCCTTCCTTCCTTCCTTCCTTCCTTCCTTCCCTCCCTCCCTCCCTCCCTCCCTCCCTCTGCCCACTGCCAGCAGTTCGATCCTGACTGGCTCAAGGTTGACTCAGCCTTCCATCCTTCCAAGGTGGGTAAAATGAGGACCCAGATTTTTGGGGGCAATAGGCTGACTCTGTAAACCGCTTAGAGAGGGCTCCAAAAGCACTGTGAAGCAGTATATAAGTCTAAGTTCTATTGCTATCTTCCTTCCTTCCTTCCTTCCCTCCCTCCCTCCCTCTGCCCACTGCCAGCATTTTCGATCCTGACTGGCTCAAGGTTGACTCAGCCTTCCATCCTTCCGAGATCGGTAAAATGAGGACCCAGATTGACGGGGGCAAGAGGCTGACTCTGTAAAACCGCTTAGAGAGGGGCTGTAACACACTGTAAAGCGGTATATAAGTCTTAAGTGCTATTGCTTGGCATCTTCCAGATGTGCTTTTAGTCAGATGTTCCTGGAGGGTACATTCACTGCACTGCAGTGGGTTTGAGAAGAAAGAAAGAAAAATCTGTTAGAATAACAGATTTCCTTCCTTGACTTTAAACTAGCCGTATATTTCAACCAATTTACACACAGTACACCACAGTACAACAAATCCCATGAGGCTTTTATGTTTACCATCAGCATGGCAGAAGGTAAATCCAGAAATTTATCCCCGTCCTCCCCCATAAAAGGCTTTGCCCTTGGGGGGGAAATCATAGGCTCAGGTTTTGCTTTATTGTAACTTTAACTGAGATAATCGTAGCAAATTACAGATAGCTTTTAAAAAAACCCTTTTCTTGAACGAACACATTAACTGTATGCACAGTAGAGCTTCTGGGAGCTCTTGTTCTTGCTAAATGTTTAATTACAGGATGTACAGTTTGAGCTTTGTTGATAACTTAAGTAGACTAAAGAAAATGACAACGCTTTCTAACCACATGTGTGTTAGAATAGAATAGAATAGAATAGAATAGAATAGAATAGAATAGAATAGAAGAATGGAATGGAATAGAATAGAATAGAATAGAATAGAATAGAATAGAATAGAATAGAATAGAATAGAATAGAATAGAATAGAATAGAATTCTTTATTGGCCAAGTGTGATTGAACACACAAGGAATTTGTCTTTGGTGCATACGCTCTCAGTGTACATAAAAAGAGAAGATACATTTGTCAAGTATCATAAGGTACAACCCTTAATGATAGTCATAGGGTACAAATAAGCAATCAAATCTTACTAGGAAACAGTCAATATAAATCGTAAGGATACAAGCAGCAAAGTTACAGTCGTGCAGTCATAAATGGGAGGAGATGGGTGATAGGAACCGTGAGAAGACTAATAGTAATAGTACCCTGTTTCCCCCAAAATAAGACATCCCCTGATAATAAGCCCAATCGGGCTTTTGAGCGCATGGCAATAAGGCCAAGCGCTTATTTCAGGGTTCAAAAAAATATAAGACGGGGTCTTATTTTCAGGGAAACACGATAATGCAGACTTAGTGAATAGTTTGACAGTGTTGAGGGAATTAGTTGTTTAGCAGAGTGATGGCGTTCGGGAAAAAAACTGTTCTTGTGTCTAGTTGTTCTGGTGTGCAGTGCTCTATAGCGTCGTTTTGAGGGTAGGAGTTGAAACAGTTTATGTCCAGGATGCAAGGGGTCTGTAGATATTTTCCCAGCCCTCTTTTTGCCTCGTGGAGTAGACAGGTCCTCAATGGAAGGCAGGTTGGTAGCCATTGTTTTTTCTGCAGTTCTAATTATCCTCTGAAGTCTGTGTCTGTCTTGTTGGGTTGCAGAACCAAACCAGGCAGACAGTTATATTGTGCTTTTGTGTCATCTAGGTTTGTCTTAACCCAGGCGTTTCATTTGTTCTTTAGCCTCTGAAGAGTGAGGATGCCGAAATGGATGATGATGATGATGAAGAAGAAGAAGGACAGGAGACCTTGTTGGATTCTGCCCCCAACGTGCAGGAAAGGAAGGTGAGAATTGGGGTGTATGTTTTCCAGCTGTGCCTATTTTGAAGTCCTTAGTGTTCTCCGAGCTTGGTTGTTCGCTTGGAAACATTTCATTACCCATCTAGATAGCATAATCAGTGCTAGAGAATGTGATGTTTCTTCCCTAATTATAATAGCTTACCTGCCAGTGTTGGTGGGAGTGTGTTGTGGCTCCGTTGCCTGAGCCTGGGCTATCGACAGATGCAGACTCTGAGAGTGAGGGAGAGGAGTTGGCAAGGCCTCCCTCTCCAGGGCCCTCCTCTCTGGCAATGCCTCCGGAGGACACCAAAGGCCAAACGATAGGCTCAGAGCCAAGCACATCCCCGCAGCCACAGGTGGACAGCGACGAAGAAGATAAGTGCTGGCTGGACCCTCGGCAGAGGCGCAGGGAGAAGCGTGCGCAGCAGAGGGGAAGGCGTGCCAGAGATTAGCTGAGTCATTGGACCACACCCCACAGGGTATAAATGTGGGTGTGGTGGCCGGTTCAGTTTGTGACGAGCAAAAACTGGAAATAATCCATGATCTCTGCGTTACTGGACTTTGCCTGCTTTATCGGACTGTATTTGGATTAATCCTTGTATTGTTGAAACTCTGCCTGTTTGCTTGCAGTCTAATCTTTGTTTTGTGTGAGTAAAGTCTGAATTGGCAGCTAGCCACTGGGTTGCTGCCAGCTTTATCTTCAAAGAGTTTTGTCGTGTGGCTTATTAACTCCGGGCCGTCTGTGGGGGTGCGTGTGGGGTACGGGGACAGAACAGAGAGTGATTTTTTTTTTCCTAGTAGTTCCTTGATTGTCAGGGCCTAAGAGCCAAGAAAGACACGTCACTTGCTTCTGAGCAGTTTCTTTGTTGTTCCTCACCTATAGACAGAAATCTTGCCAAACTAAAACAAGCTATTACATCACTACAGATAGACTCTGGGAACAGTTAGGGAGCAGCCTTCTTAACCCTCTTTTTCCCAACCCTACTTTCCATGCTTCATTGACTCTTTGCCCTCCTGAATGCAGCCCCTCCCTCCAGGGAATCCAGACTACATTCCACTTCGATTATGGTATTGTTTTCTGCTTGATAGTTTGCCTCCTTCGTAGTTTCCTTAAGTTATTGTTTTCTGCTTGTTTGTTTGTCTGGTGTTATTCCCTGCTTATCTGGGTTTTGGTAGATATAGAAGATGTGTTCTCGTCTTTTGGTTTCCTCCTTAGCTTTTGTCTCTTTTGAAGGGTGTATAAATAGCGTTTATCTCTTATGTGTTTGCTATGGAAGAAGGTGGTCCATCAAGAATTAGGTCATACCCCATAATTCTTCTACCAAATCCTCAATAGTAGTAAATGTGAGAGGGATCTTGGAGTCCTAGTGGACAACCATTTAGATATGAGCCAGCAGTGTGCAGCAGCTGCCAGAAATGCCAACACAGTCCTGGGCTGCATAAACAGAGGGATAGAATCAAGATCACATGAAGTGCTAATACCACTTTATAAGGCCTTGGTAAGGCCACACTTGGAATATTGCATTCAGTTTTGGTCGCCATGATGTAAAAAAGATGTTGAGACTCTAGAAAGAGTGCAGAGAAGAGCAACCAAGATGATTTAGGGGACTGGAGGCTAAAACATATGAAGAACGGTTGCAGGAACTGGATATGTCTAGTTTAATGAAGAGAAGGACTAGGGGAGACATGATAGCAGTGTTCCAATATCTCAGGGGTTGCCACAAAGAAGAGGGAATCAAACTATTCTCCAAAGCACCTGAAGGCAGGACAAGAAGCAATGGGTGGAAACTAATCAAGGAGAGAAGCAATTTAGAACTAAGGAGAAGTTTCCTGACAGTTAGAACAATTAATAAGTGGAAAAACTTGCCTGCAGAAGTTGTGAATGCTCCAACGCTGGAAATTTTTAAGAAGATGTTGGATAACCATTTGTCTGAAGTGATGTAGGGTTTCCTGCCTAAGCTGGGGGTTGGACTAGAAGACCTCCAAGGTCCCTTCCAACTCTGTTATTCTATTCTATTCTAAATCCAGATTGTAATAGAAATGTAATAGAAATATAATAACCAAGCTCTGAGGGGTCCTTGCTGCCCTCTTTTGTCTTTGAAGACGTTTCATTACCCAAATCACTGCTATTGGTACCACACTATAGCCAAGCAGAGGAAAGTTGATCTCCTCCTTAATCGTAAGAATGTGGGAATTTGGAATATGGAATAGTTCAGTCAGTTGGTACTGATTCTGGAATAGCAGTCTGTAGAGTTTGGTTGACATCGTTTCTTCTTCTTTCCCTCTGCTTTGAAGAATGAAGAATTTATATTGCCTCCAAAAGACAAATTATCAGTTCCTGAAATGTCAGTCAAGCCTCCTGTGGGAGAGGTGAGTTTTATGTTCGGACCCCTAAAACAAAAACCTGCCAGAAGGTCCATGGGTGGGGAAGAACCTACATCCCTTTCTATCTACTCGAATGCCTTTTGGTCTGGAGAGCAAGCAAATGTCGCTGTGTTGCATTCTATAATAGAACATTCATTTAGTGACCGGGAAAGGGACGGTTTTCACACGTCCATTGCAGCATCCCCATAGTCACGTGACCAAAATCCGGGTGCTTGGCAACTGGCATGTATTTATGACGGTTGCATTGTCCCGGGGGGTCATGTCATCACCATTTGTGATCTTCTCACCTGCTTTCCGACCAGCAAAATCAGTGGGGGCAGCCAGATTTCTTTTGCTTGGTGGGCGTGGCAGGGGAAGGATACTGCAAAATCCCCATTCCCTCCCCACTCCAGGGGAAGGATACTGCAGAATCCCCATTCCCTCCACACTCCAGGAAAAGGATACTGCAAAATCCCCATTCCCTCCCCATTGCAGGGAAAGGATACTGCAAAATCTCTATTCCCTCCCCACTGCAGGGAAAGGATACTGCAAAATTTCCATTCCCTCCCCACTCCAGGAAAAGGATACTGCAAAATTTTCATTCCCTCCCCACTCCTGGGGGAAGGATACTGCAAAATCTCCATTCCCTCCCCACTCCAGGGAAAGGATACTGCAAAATCCCCATTCCCTCCCCACTCCTGGGGGAAGGATACTGCAAAATCTCCATTCCCTCCCCACTCCTGGGGGAAGGATACTGCAAAATCCCCATTCCCTCCCCACTGCAGGGAAAGGATACTGCAAAATCCCCATTCCCTTCCCACTCCTGGGGGAAGGATACTGCAAAAATCTCCATTCCCTCCACACTCTGGGACCAGACAGAGGTTGTATTTGCCAGTTATCCGAACTACTCAAAATTTCCCCTACCGGTTCTCCAGAACCTGCTGAATTTCACCCCTGGGCGCGACAGGTGTCAGGGCGTGGGAGGCGTGGCTGCAGTGGTCCTAAGTTAAGCGGGTAAGATATCCCCTGAAAATAAGACCTGGTGCTTATTTTGGGGCCCAAAAGAAAAGAAAACCGGGTCCCATTTTCGGGGAAACACGGGTACATATGAAAAAATAAAAACGCAATAATTTGTCTCCTTTTACCTTCGTGAACTCATATTTGCCCGTTTTTCCTTCCTTTTAAAAGACTAAAATAGAAGCGCCCCGGAGCAGCAAAGCCAGTGCCAATGGCGTCTAACTGGTTTCTCATAAAAGAGCTGGACCCTCAGGGAGGGGGGGGAAAAAACCCCGGAAGCACTACCTTTGCAACGTGCAAAATATCGGCAGCTTTCATCGCCCATCTCCTTCGCAGACCCAGCCCCGCGAAATCCGGTTCTCCGGACGCGACGACCGTCGATCTCAGCCAGGTGAAAAACTCACTTTTGCATCCCAGGGCGAAGATTTGCATCCGTGAGACATCCGTGTAACTTATTTTGTTTTGTAAATATGTACATAATCCGCAGACTGGGGTCTTCAATCTTGTCAACTTTAAGACTTGTGGACTGCAACTCCCAGAATTCCTCAGTCCTTGCTGGCTGAGGAATTCTGGGAGTTGCAGTCCACAAGTCTTAAAGTCGACAAGGTTGGAGACCCCTGGACTAAACCAGTTGTAACTTAATGCAAAACAGTTCCTGTGTAGGTGTACAATTCCTTAAAACGTCTTTCGCGATTAATTTAAATTTTATAAGAAGGGGCCTCCTTACCACCTTGAGCCTTTTTTCCATGAGAAATTTATAGGAAATTGGCCTCCCCTTCCTTTCAGTAGACAAGGCTTGAATTGATCGACGGCCTGGTTCTTAAAAAAGACTTACTTAAAAGTAGGTCGCGGAGAAGGCCCTTCCAAAGGGTCTTGCGTAAAATTGCACTCCCGCTTCTCAAAGTCAAAACGAGAAGAATGAAAGATGGACAGCATCTTCCTCTTAGTACGCAAATAAAATGGAAACCATCCGTGATCCATATGGTTTCCTCCTGTCACGCTCATTTTTACCCATTGGTGAAAAGACCGCACACTCCAGTGTGTTTTCCTGTTGTTTCAAAAGGAGCAAATGTTACACAAAACGCAAACAGAATTGGACCATAAACCTATTTAAATAGAGCAAGGATCAATTGAAGTATGGATTAAGTTATCTATAACTCACTCAGGCAGACTCTATCAACAATCCGATTATTTGTAATTTTATTGTCTTTGTTAATTAAATTGTGGGCGTTGAATTAACCTGTAACCAGTGTCTGTCTTAATTGGGGTTCTAAAAAGAAGATTGCGGAAGATCGGGCCGTATTACAAAAACATCGGTAGTTTTTCTGCCATGTTTGCCTATCCTCGGGTGGGGCTTCAAAAATTTTAGCAAAGGGTTCTCTGCCTGGTTGCTGGGTGGGCGTGGCCATGGCGGGCGTGGCCTAATCGGCCTCCTGCACCACAGCGGGAGGGACATTTTTGCCCTCCCCAGGTTTTGGAGGCTTTTCTCGAGCCTCTGGGAGGGCAAAAACAGCCTCCCCAGGCACCGGAGGCCCTCTAGTGGCCGGAAATGGGCCTGAACTTCCAAACTTCTGATAGGCCCGTTTTTCACCCTCCCCAAGCCTCTGGGTGCATCCTGCACTTACCTGCATCCAAAACAAGCCGTGTGGGGACTCCTGGGAGGGGAGGGGAGGGCAGGGGTGGGCGGAGCCAGCCAGGAGTGGGATTTGGGGGTTCTCCGAACTGCACAGAATCTTAGCTAGAGGTTCTCCCAAACCCCCGTGAACCCCCAGCAGCCCACCCCTGCCTATCCTTAAACACAAGTTTAACATACTAGGACAAAAAAAAATGATAATTTTACCATGCTTTGCTAATGCTCTGCATAATATTAGCAGTGAGGCAGCTTCTAGCTAAGAAATAAGTGACTTGAGGATTGCAGTCATAACACCAGACAAACTGTCAGATATATCCCAACAGAGAATCATTTGAATCCTTAACTTCATACATTTGTCCCTGAAATATACCGTGTTTCCCCGAAAATAAGACCCTGTCTTATATTTTTTTTTAACCCCGAAATAAGCACTTGGCCTTATTTTCGGGGAGGTCTTATTATTTTGGGGTGCGTAGAGCAAGATGGGGCTCCTCATGTGTTGTGACCCCGGCCCCGGAGGCTGATTTATATTCGCATGCTGAGTCGGAGGATGATATGGAGGAGGAGGAAGCTATCACGAGCTATGTGCCGGGGGGGCCGTCTTCACTGGCGAGTCAGCAAGAACTGACAGTTGCTGACATGCCTCTGGACCCCAGCCAAATTGAGGAGGAAACAGAGGCCGGTAACGCCGAGGGGGAGCCCCTATTGGATGCAAGAGAGAGACGTAGGAGATGTCGTAGAGAACAGCTATTGCCACGTTCCAAGAGGTGTGGTCAGGAGACGTAGGGCCACACCCTACAAAGTATAAAAGGGGTGTGACTGGTCTGGAAAGGCGTGGTGAACAATTTGTTGGCGTTTTGGATGCAGTGGATTTACAACTGTTAGTTTGGAGGGTTTTTTTGACAAGAGTCTGCATTCCTGCATTAGCCTGCTGGCCGTCTGCCAAGACCTTTGGAACATTGCCCGGTAACTATTGGATTGATATACGCTTTGGAAGAGAACTATTTATTAAAGGGCCAGCTTCGTTTTCTCTAGCCTGCATTTGTTACTGCCGGACTATTTGAGCCTCTGCAAGGCCACTCGTGGGAAGGGACAGAATCATTTTATTTATTTATTTATTTATTTATTTTTCAATTTATATACCATCCTTCTCCCTGAGGACTCAGGGCGGTGCACAGCCAGAATTAAAAACATGAAATACAAATATTAAAAACAATTAATATATATATATATAAATTTGGCCCAAAAATCATGACATCTTACCTGATTTCCAGCTCTGCATTTAAATATTTTCAGGGAGGGCTTAATTTCGGGGGGGGGAGGGAGGAGGCTTATTATAGCGCATGCGCTCAAAAGCCCGATTGGGCTTATTATCAGGGGGTGTCTTATTTTTGGAGAAACAGGGTACATTTCTAACAGATTTACAGGTGATCCTCACCTTACAACAGATCATTTACAACAGGACTGAAAAAAGTGCTTTATGACCATTTTTCACACTTACGACCATTGCACACCATTCCATGGTCACAGGATCAAAATTCAAATTGGCAGCTGACTCAATTTTATGACCATTGCAGTGTCCGGGGTGCGTGTGTATGTGTTAAACAGGATCCCCTTTTTGTGACCTTCTGAAAAGCAAAAGTCAATAGGAAAGCCAGATTCACTTAACAACCCTGTTACTGGCTTAACAACTACGGTGATTCACTTAACGACTGTGGCAAGGAAGGTCGTAAAACGGGACAAAATTCATTTAACAACCGTCTCGCTTAGGAATAGAAAATTTGGGTTGAATTGTCGTACGTCAAGGACTACCTGTCTAAACAACTTTGGGAAAAATCAGAGCTAACTTTCGCCCTTTTCCCGGTCTCTAAAAGCTTTGTTGTTTGCACTGACCGTACCAGAATTTCTAAAAAAAAAAAACTTTCTGAAAAATTTAGTGCAAGTTCTGTTTCAACCGTGGGGAGCCTGATACGTGAGCTATATATTCACCCAGCGCACACAGATACATAAACATTACTGAAATGAATGCTGGGATAAAGGAGCCACCGGAGATAGCTTTGAAGATCGAAGCTCAAGGCTTACACGCAGCTAAGCTTCTATCTTAACGTTAACTCGTGGCTTATTTAAATTGCGTAAAAATCCCGACGGTGGAGTTCCTACCACAGGCTGAGCCAAAACAAACAGATGTCGTTTAGTACAAAATAGGAGCCCGGGCGTCAGCTAACGGGAGAAAAGAAGAACTGCAAACGAGGGAAATCTACAGTGTAAAGAAATAAACGTTAACAGAAAAACACAGATTCAATATTAAAAAGCCTAGAGATAAACAGAACGGGAGTGATGGGAATGGAACAATGTACCGTTTCCTTGAAAGTTCCCGGTTTACTTATTTTTATTTCATATTTCTTAATCGCCCACTTCCTTCAGAGAGGGGCTCTGGGCGATGTATGATATAATAAATTGCTTATCTAATGTTAAGTTAAAGGTAAAGGTTCCCCTCGCACATATGTGCTAGTCGTTCCCGACTCTAGGGGGCGGTGCTCATCTCCGTTTCAAAGCCGAAGAGCCAGCGCTGTCCGAAGACATGTCTGGGGTCATGTGGCCGGCATGACTCAACGCCAAAGGCGCACGGAACGCTGTTACTTTTCCACCAAAGGTGGTCCCTATTTTTCTGCTTGCATTTTTTACTTGCTTTCAAACTGCTAGGTTGGCAGAAGCTGGGACAAGTCACGGGAGCTCACCCCGTTAAGCGGCACTAGGGATTCGAACCGCTGAAATGCCAGCCTTTCGATCGACAAGCTCAATGTCTTAGCCACTGAGCCACTACTCAGTGTATGTATAATTATATTATATTATATTATATTATATTATATTATATTATATTATATTATATTATATTATATTATATTATATTATATTATATTATATTATATAATATAATATTATAGATAGATAGATCGATAGATCGATAGATAGATAGATAGATAGATAGATAGATAGATAGATAGATAGATAGATCGATCCCGGCTGACAGAAAAATAATATATATACTATCTGTCAGCCGGGTTTTTTTCTACGTAAATCAAAATCTTTATACAGCCATAGCTCAGTGAAATCCCATTCACTAGTTTCTGGGCTTTTTCAGACATCAAACCAGCATTTTCCTGCTTTCCTTTAGTCTCCCAATAGACAGCAAAATGTTGGTTTGATGTCTGAAAAAGCCCAGAAACTAGTGAATGGGATTTCACTGAGCTATGGCTGTATAAAGATCTTGATTTATGTAGGAAAAAACCCACCTGACAGAAAAATACACATAAAGGCCTACAAAAAGACAAGAATATATATGTGTGTGTGTGTGTGTGTTGACGAATGAGACTTTGTCGAAACGTTGCCAAGACACCTCCAATTTTACGTGGGAGAAAACCCAAATAACCAAAGACATACATACATACATACATACATACATACATACATACATACATACATATTATATATTAGATATATATTAGATATATTAGCCTATATCTAATGTTACAGACTTTCTAAACTAGACTCAGCATCCCAGTCCATCCCAAAACGATGCTTCGTGGCAGCCCCCACTGCGTTCGTGGCAGCTGGGCCCTTTGGGGTTCTCTCCAGGATCCGCCGAGCCAGTCCAACCTATTGATGGAGCTGTCAGATGCCGTACTTGGCTTTTGACCAACAAGCCCAGCTCTTCCTCGACTCTCCAGCGATCAATAGCTGACATAACTATTATTGTGGAACAAGTCTTTCCAGCGCTAAGTGTGTTATGTATGCATGTCGCTTAAGGCCAGCCTGTGCAGCTTTGATCACTGTTAATTCTTTTGGAAATTTCTGTCAAAACCTACTTCACCAAGCTTTCCGATTACAACACAGAATCCTTGGCAGTGTTATTTATTTTATTTTTTTACATCTATTCAAAAGAAGAGCCTGCTTTTTTTTTTTTTTAAGCGTACAAATTTTTCTAACATGGAACAATTGAAGGCTTCTTAACCATTGCCTGGAGGGACACTTGCTGGAAAGTGAAGCTAAATGCCTAGACCAGTGTTTCTCAACCTTGGAAGCTTGAAGATGGGTGGACTTCAACTCCAGAATCCCCCAGCCAGCAGGCTGGCTGGGGGATTCTGGGAGTTGAAGTCCACCCATCTTCAAGCTTCCAAGGTTGAGAAACACTGGTCTAGAAACATGTTTATGTTTTATGTTTTATTAAATTTGTATACCGCCCTACTCCCGAAGGACTCAGGGCGGTGAACAGGCACAGGATAAAATACAGAAATACAAAAGTTAGAAACAATTTAAAACCAAATTAAATAATTTAGCCCATGACAATTAAAATCCCAATAATTTAAAACAAATTAAAATTTCAGTTTAAAAAATTTAAAAGAAAGGGGAGAAAAATTAGGTGAGGCCGGCTTGCTGGAATAGGAGGGTCTTAAGAGCACGGTGGAAAGTGCGCAGATCCGGGATCCTCCGTATCTCTGGGGGGAGCTCGTTCCAGATAGTGGGTGCCCTCACAGAGAAGGCCCTCCCCCTGGGGGCTGCCAGTCGACACTGCTTGGCTGACGGCACCCGGAGGAGCCCCTCTCTATGAGAGCGTA